TGGGCTTGATATCGCTGAAATTTAGTAGGGGAGATGGAGGGCTATAGGAGGGGAGAAACTAGTCCTCAAAGAGAGTAAGTCTCAGTTCCTCCATCCAGTGAGGGTTTTGCGGAAGAGGAGGTGCAGGAGTTTCCATCTCGAAAGAAGGAGGGAATTGGGGGTTGCTGACAATATCAAGCCAGTCAAAAGAGAAAAGTTTTGCCTTCTGGGCTAAGAATGATGGGCTATACCCTTGAGCCTCTTCTAGACGACGAGTGGCTTGTACTATCTTCGTAGGCATGAAAGATGTGTACCATGCTACAAGTAAGTTGTCTTCCAAACGGCATCGGCGGTCGATGGGTACATGTGGGTAAACCACCGAACTCTGAACAAAAAGAGAGAAAGTTAGAGGATCAACAAATTTTAAAAAATGATGATTGATTCGCTCTCTTAACTTGGACTCCTCAGGTTTTGGCCAGCTTCTCCAACTAGAAGCCCCAAAAGAAGAAGAAGAAGCTGCAGCCTCATCCCACGCAGAAGGTTTTGGGTCAGAAGAAGAGCTTCCAATATCCATGTTTGCAAAATTTTGGGTTAAAGAATTATGGACAATAGGTTCGTAATCTAAAGGTTGATAGTTTGCAAAAACTTCCATGACTTGAATATAGGAAGGTGGATAAAGGTGGCTAATCAATGCATGAAGGTTCTTTCGAGAACGAACAGCATTATCAAACAACTCTTCATATGCTTGATCGAGGTAAGAAAAGGTTGTTTGGCCATGAAAGCTATACTAGTTTTTTCGAATACTGAGATAGTGAAAATGTTCAAAGAATAAAAGAGAATTTAATGCAAATGTTTCATTGATGAATGGCGGTTGCATTTCTAAAAAAGGCAAAGCCCATGCACATTCTAAGACGTGGATAAAATACCTTGATCCACTAATATCACCAAGTATTAGGTATATTAGTGCGGGGGGTAATGTTGGCTACATGTTTTGTACAGGCCAATCTTAGTTCAACACGTGGCAAGATGAGGGCAATACGGGAAGACAATTCAAATCTTCAATCGTAATCACACACATGACAGTTAGTATTGGTTATTATGGATCTGCATAGAATTGGATCAGCAAAGAGATACAAGATGACGTGGCTTTAACAGTTACTCGTATATTTAAATTCAAAATTAGGAGGGAAGCCTAACTGCAGATATGGCGTAGTGGAGCTAACTGTGACGAAACATGGTCAGCGATCATGGAGGGATGATTCGACGATTATCATTGAGAAGTATAAATAGCAGAGAAGGCCCAGAAAGAAGTCCCCAGACTTAGATTCAGAAACCAGTTTTTATCTACTTTATTTTCCTTCCAATTTTTACATTTCTGTACTTCAAATTCCTGCACTGCACTTCGTTCATAGGAGTAGTTTCAAGTAACTTGTTGTAAACCTGTATGAGACTGAATTGGATTATTGTAAGTCTTTCATTTTTACTTAATGAAATGCTACAATTATTCTTCATTTAAATTGTTGTTTGTTTAATTCTCCTAAACAAATCCACCAGTAAAAGTCATCTTCGTTGAGGCTAAAAGAACTGAAACACAATCGTTTGATAATTGGTTGGCAATTAATCTTCTATAAAGACTGATTGATCATTGCTAGCATGCTTAAAATTACAATAATAACATTCGAAAGCCAAAAAAGCCAACATATATATATATATATATATTTGTTCTTGGTGGGTTTGGAAGATAATTCGATGAATATTTGATTTCATGATCCAAATTTTGAGGATTTATATAGGATTTTCAATAGAAGGAGATGAATTTTTCGATTAAGTTCTAGAAGAGCGAGAGGTTTGGTGCGAGAAGAGAGAAGAGAGAGAATGAGAGAATGGGTGTTATATATAGGTGTGGGTGAGGGACCTTAAGCTACAAAAAAAATTATTGTAGACCTCTCCCATTACTAAAAGTTGAAGAGGGATGTTAGATCAAATTTTCTAAAAAAATTATTATATTTGGAATGACTTTTAAATTTTTTAGAAAAAAAAATGTGTAAAAAATAGAGAAAAAAATAAAATCTTTGACTTTTTTGTATAAGTTATTTGTTTTTTTAATTTTTTTATTAACTTTTTTAACTTTTAAACTAAAATAATAAACTGCCAAATGAAATCGAAGAACATCTTTAAATTCCAAAACCCCCCAGTTATTTTTCCATGGGGTTCATTAAACCTTACTTTGGCTTCGTTTGGGAAGAAGGGTTGGGTTGGGTTTGGGGCTATTTTAGTTATAAAAAGACAAAAATAAAATTTAGTCCAATAAGATAAAATATCACATCAAACTCATAATCATTACATTCTTTCTATCACAAAAAGTCAAAAAAAATCAAAAGTCATTTCCAAACTAGACCTTTTAACCCCAGGCTAAAATATTTAAAAAGCTAAAAAACAACTCACTTCCCAAACGAACCCTTTATTAGGTCTTACTATTCGTTTTTATTATTAATAAATTAATTAGATATTACATACTAAATAAAATATCATAAAACAATATACTAATCAATTTTTTTACTTATATAAGTTATTTTTAATAATAGGCAAAAACTGTACCTACTTTCATTCACACAAAAAAAATAAATAATAATAATAAAATAAATAAAATAAAATAAAATAAACTAAACTAAACTAAACTAAACAGAAAAAAAAATAAAGTAATAAAAAAAATATTTTAAAAAATCAAAAACAACTCACTGGTCCCGTTTGGTAGAGCTGTGAGAAAGTGATTATAGATTATAGCTTAACAGATTATAACTTACAGCTGTGAACATAAGTTGATAACCTGTTTGATGCAGCTGTGAGATTATGGATTTAAGCAGCAGAGTAGTGCTTGGTAAATAAGTTGTAAAATAATTTTTTGCGGTATAATTGTCATTTTTGCCCTTATAGGATATAAAATTTGTGATTTCATTTATAATACATTTTTTTCTTTTTCATTTTCATTTTCTTTTCTTTTCTTTTCTTTTTCACCTTATTTTCTTTTCTTTTTTAATTTTTTTTTTCTTCTCTTCTTTCTTTGTTCATTTTTTTTAATATATTAATTCATTAAAATTAATATTCATGTTCTAATTTATATTAATGTATCAATTTTTCCAATTTATTATTATTATTATTCATTTTAATTATTTTTAGTAATATTTCATTTTTATTATTTTTTTTTAGTAATATTTCATTTTTTCTTTATATTAATGTACCATTATTATTCTTTATATTAATGTATCAATTTATATTAATTTATCAATTTACATATAGTCATCAATTTATATTAATGTATAATTTTAATTATTTTTAGTAATATTTCATTGTACATATATTCATCAGTTTATATTAATGTATCAAGTTTTCCAAATTTTTTTATTATTATTATTATTCATTTTAATTATTTTTAATAATATTTCATTTTTTCTTTATATTAATGTATCATTATTAATGTATCATTATTATTCTTTATATATATTTATCAATTTATATTAATGTATCATTTTAATTATTTTTAGTAATATTTCAATTTACATATATTCATCAATTTATATTAATGTATCAATTTTTCAATCAATTAATATTATCAATTAATATAAATTACATATATTCATCAATATTTTTTTTATCAATTATTACATAAATTACATATATTAATATTATCAATTATTATTAATTTTTCCATCAATTACATATAAATTTTTTTCATTTTTTCATTTTAAATTAATTAGTCTCAATTAATTAGCATCAATTATTATTTTTTATTCATTCATTAATTATTTTATTTTATTTTATTTTTATTAAAAAAACACCGAAAAACCTCAACAAAAAAACAAAAATAATAATGAAAACCCTAGCTCTGGCGGGAGGAACCGGCGCTAGGGTTTGATTCAGATCCACAGAAAGAGCGAGAGAGAGCTAGGGTTCAGATCGCGATGGTTCATCCCACCGACAACCCCCCTTCTTCTCCTCCTCCTCCTCCTCCTCCTCATCTCACTGCCGGCATCGATCGCGATGGTTTAGATCTCCTCCTTCTTATCTCATCGTTGGCGTAGAGAGCGAAGAGGGAAATAGACGGGTTCACGCTGTCGATCGAGATGGTTCAGATCGTGATGGTTGAAATCGTGATGGAGAGTGATCGGAGAACAAGGGAGAGAGACAGAGAAAGAAAGAGAAAGAGAGGGAGAGTGAGGGAGAGAGAAGAGACAGAGCTCGATCGTCAGAATGCTAGCCGGAAATTGCCCTAGCTCGCCGAAAATCGCCTCTCTCGTTTGTGTGAGAGAGGAAGAATGAATGAGAAATGGTTTATATACATGGCACACTTGTAATTAGCATCAATTAAGAAGGGCATTTAAGTCATTTTACATCTCCTATTTCAGCTTCCCGTATAAGCTGATTCAAGAAGCACCCCCTGAGGTGCTTATAAATTTAAGCTGAAAATAACTCAATAAAAATTATAATCTATCCCTTTAAATTTTATCAAATATACCAAAATGATTTAATTCAAGTTAAAAGTAACTTTAAAATGCTTTTAATTGCTACCAAACAGCCTCATTGTGTTGTGTCATCTCTCTCACTACTACTGGCCTAAAAGGTTGCCAAGAAAAACAAAAAGGAACTGTATAATATAAACGGCAGCCAAATGAGTAGCACCGAATCACACAAATACTAAACCAAGCCACAAACCCTTTGACTTCATTGAACCAATCAATCCATGCCACATCAGAAACACAACCACAACACTCAAAGTCAAGAGCAAATCAGAAGTCATTTCCTAATGTGGCAAGGTGACAAGCATTTTCCACATGGTAACTATGAAGTACATCTCCACACCAGAAAAAATCTCGTAGCATTAAATTCACAAATGTTGACGTGTCCTTCGCCCGCAACCCCATCGACAAATCGCAAGAAAGACGAGACCCACACCACCAGAGTCTTCAGTCAAACTAAAACGCATTAAACCCCCCCCAAACAAACCCCAACACCACCCTCCATTAACACACCTCTCAACCCAACCCAACCCAACCCAACCCCTTCCTCTTCCCCCTCCACCGTCACCATCGCCGCCGCCACGTAATCAATATCATGCTCGATCCTGCTCCAGCCCCGTCGCCACAGTCGTCGTCCTTGTCTTCATCGCCGCCGCCGAAACTTCCCGTTGATTTCAGTCCTCCATTGATAGCTATGCTAGTCATCATCGCCACCGCCTTCGTCGTTGTAACCTACTCGCGCCTAATCTCGCGTTATTTTATCCACCAGCACCGCCGCTGGCGGCGGTGGCGGAGGCGGCGGCGCCTCCTCCGATCCTACGTCCCTTCCTCCTCCGCCGGTGGCGATATCGAGTCGCCTCCCTACAATTTGTCCTCCTTCGATCCAACTGACGCTTTCCACTTGCTGTCTCCGTACGGACTCGACGAGTCCGTCATCAAGTCGATTCCTCTCTCCGTCTACACGAGGAAGAGCAGCGTTCACGAGTGTGCAGTGTGTCTTCTCGAGTTCGAAGAGAACGATTACGTCAGAACGCTTCCGGTTTGTTACCACGCGTTTCACGTTGATTGCATCGATATATGGCTCGGCTCGCACGCGAATTGTCCTCTCTGCAGATCCAGAATATTCCGGTCGGAATCTCCGTTCATTCCGGTGATGGCCGCCAGAATCCGGCCGAGTCTCGATGATATAATCATCGAGAGCACAATTCTGGAACCGTTGGAAGAAGCTCCACCGGAATCGGACACAGCCGTCGGAGAGATCACACAGGAACCGTCGAATAACCAGTCGGAGGACCGATTCAACGGCCGCGATTTCTTGCTGAAGCGATCGTACTCTTTCGGATTCGAGCGAAATTTAGGATCGGAAAGGTTAGTTATGGAGCCGGCGACGGCGTCGCCGTGGAGATATCGGCCGGGAGGAGGATTCTGGAGCAAAAGACCGTCGCCGTTCAGTTCGTTGACGAAACCTAGGGTTTTCTCTTTCCGATACTACAGAGGCATGAAATCTCCGTTTTTCCGGCGGCGAGGTGGATTTTTTCCGGTATCGGAGAGATACGCCGTAGGAGGGGGATCATCACGACGGACTAAATCGTTGGCGAGCCCGATGTTCATGAGGTCGTCGGGGGCCGGGATGTTCTCGTCGAGCCGGCTGAGGAGCGGCGATCCAGAGGCGTTGCTGTCGCCGGAGAGATTTAACAGAAGGTAAAACTGGCCGGAAATGGCTCGACTGACAACGGCGGCGGAGGTGGCGGTGGCGGAGGAGGATGGGGTCGGAGCAGCTTTAATGGGGGGGTGGCGTGGGTGAATTAAATGAGAGTTCTGAGTGGGCTGAATTTTGTAAGGCGGTCATTAAATGAATGGCGTTGGGTTGGGAAAAAGAGCATTTAATGCAAAGTTGACGAGAGAGACGAGAGAGATAGAGAAGAGACAGAGAGAGTGTGTGAATGTGATGACTGTGAACATAGACCGATGGATGGAGAATCACACTTCCATTTCTCTACCTCTACCCATCTGCGTCTCTCTCTCTCTCCATTTATAGAAGCTAAAATATATATACACCATTTTTCTTTTTTTGTTTTTGTTTTTGTTTTTATTTTTGTTTTGGTTTTGTTTTTTTCGTAAACAAAATTGCTTGTAAATAGAAAAATATTTAGAACTTTAGCTTTGTTCAAATTGTTTTTACCCCTTTGTTTTGAGAGGGTTTGAATTTACAAGAAGTACTAAAGGGCTGTTTGAGATGTTTTAAATAAATGTATTTTTTAACTTTTTATAAAAATATGTATAAAAAAGTAATGAGGAGATATTGATTGATGTGACTTAAAAAAGATAAAAAAATAAAAAGTACGGATTTATTTAATCTTTCCAAACTTGTCAAAATGTCCATTTTACTTAAAAGAAAATTTAAAAAAAGTACTTAAAATATGGTGAATGTTTAAAGGAAAATGATTTGTCCTTCTAATTTTTTTCCCCCGAATCCCCTGAAATCACAGAGGAGAGAAAGAGAGGGGAAAGAGAAGAGAGGGGAAGAGGAGGCAGGTCTCAGCCGTCGCAGCCTGATTGTCGCAGCCTCCGTCGTCACCTCCGCAGGCCTGCCGTTGCAGCCCCGTCCCTCGCAGCCCCTGCCTCTGCTGCCTCCCCCCGCCTCCGCCTCCGCCTCCGCCTCTGCCTCCGCCCGTCTTCCTCCTCCTCCCCCTCCAGTCCCTCCTCCTCCCTCTCCTCCTCCCTCCTCCTCCCTCCTCCTTCTTCTTTTTCCATCTTCTTCTTCGTTTCTGATTCAACCAAAAAACAAAAAAAAAAAAAAGGGCAAAAATGACGTCGTTTTTGCCTTTAGGGGGATTCGGGGGGCCTATTTTCGAGCGATGTAGCATTGCTCATGTTTAAATTAAGGCCTAGTTTGGGAAGACTAAATAAGTGCACTTTTTGACTTTTTATGAAATATGGGTTGGGTTTGGGTTGGGTTTGAAGTGATGTGTTAGAGAGGTGATGTGACTTAAATAAGATGATGTGACTTAAATAGGATAGTGACTTTTTGACTTTTTGTCTTTTTTCAATCATGCCAAACTTAGCCTAAGTATCTTCTTGGATTATGAATTTTATAATCTGAAAATATTTTTGCCTTGTTATTTCGATGCATTTATAATACAACAATGATTCATCCCACTAAAAACATCACCACTAATAGCACTAATGAATGCATTAAAAAAGTAAAAAAAAAAATACAAATCAAAACATTACATCATTAATGGCGGGACCCACTGCCACCTAATTAGTGGGAGCACTAATTAGTGCTCCCAAGTATTTTTCTTTATAATATGATTGTCTCCATGCATGTGAATTTAAAAACATAGTTGGCCTCGTTTGGCAACCAAACTTTTTAGTTAAAAAATCAAAAAATTACTAAATTAGTCAAAAAGTTAACAATTCATACCAAAAAGTCAAAGATTCTCTTTTCTCTCTATTTTTTGCACATCTTTTCGTAAAAAATTAAAAAATCGTCCTAAACATATTATATTTTAACTAAATAACTAAAAAATTACTAAGTTAACTTGTTCCCAAACATAAACATGCTACATACTAAAATATTTGTATTGCTTTTAACTCATATCTTCTTGGATTTTGCTAACAACTATCGTGACATACTAAAAAGGATAAATACATATATATATATATATATTTTATTAATTTTAAAATATTTGTATTGGCTTTAAAAAATATATTTTTTATATTACTTTTAATATTAAATAATGACCTAAGGATATTTTTATCGTTTGTCATCTAATATTTGAGAATGTATTAAACAGTATTCTCCAATTTAAATTTCGGCTCATCCCAAACAAATGATCAAATTAAACTATCTAAAACAAAAATAATAATAAGAAAAAATCAGTTATAAGAACTTTGTTCACCATTCAATTCTATTAATAATTATATGCTTAGTTTAAATTAAATAAATAATCAACCAAATTTTTAAAAAAGGCTAAATAAGACAAACATAATTCAATTTTTTCCAAACTTAAAAAGCTTCAACCAAACTACCATCCCAAAAAGCTTAACTACCATCCTAATTTTTTTAACCTTCAGACTGTATCTTGATTTTAAATTTGTGAAGTGATTTATAAAAGAAAAAAATAAAAAGTAAATGAAGTAGAAGCTAAGGGTCTCTTTGGTTGTATCTTAATTTGTTCTCTTTTTTTTTTCATTTATCAGAGAAAAATTATTTTTTTCACTTTTTTATTTTCCCTCTTACCAATCTAATAAAATCCATACAACCAAAAACTACTATTATAATGTAATTAATGTCATATAATACGAGATCATGTAACATTTTTTTAAAATTTTTTGTTAAGACTGCTAGAAACACTGCTTTGAATGGTTCTAGATATTTGTCTTATGGTCTTCTCATTTGTCACAAAATGAATATATATATATATATATATATATATTTAGATTTAAAAAATATCTTAATTTCTGAGAGGTTTTGTCCCATGCTAGAAAGAAGACAACCAGTAAGTCTGATTTATTAGATTGGATTGATTGATTTTTATATTAACCGAGAATAGGTTAAGGTTTATAAACAAGAAGTTAAATTGACCTCTTACCAAATTCTAATAATGTTAAGAACACATAACTCACTTACAAAAAAAAATGACACAGGGCATTTATGGTTTGTTAGAAAAAGGGTAAAAAATCAAAAAATCATTAACTGTTTGTTATTAATTAAAAATATTACATTTTACATTAGTTTTTTCACTCAAAAAAAAAAAAATTAATAACTTTATCGAATGCTTTAACTTTTTTAGTTTAAAAAAACTAAAAAATTACTTAAAAAAGTCAATTATACACAAAACAAAACTCAACTATATAAATTGATACATAACGCGTAAGGGTGTTCTGTATCACTTTGTATGATCAAATTATGTCTCTTGAAGTTGTGTTAAAACTTAAAGAGTTATACATGTGTTTGATTTCAACGCCTACCTACCTTTGTCTTGAGCATCCATGACACATACTTGGTTCTAACATAGTAGGCTCATCCAATTACATGTAGAGCATGAGTCAACATCTACGGTTAGAAACTACCATCTGCAATTATTTGAACAATCGAAAATTCAAGCCAAGGTTTCCTTAGTTAAATGTGTAGCAAACGCTTTCACTTTTCAACTTATCTCCTTGGTTAGGAAAATGTTGAAGATATATAAAAAAATTTCACAATTATATCCACAATGATATAGTATTATATGTGTTAATTTTTAATTTGTTATATATCTAATAATATATGAAACAATAATTTGAGAGAGTGATAGAGGATTGAGAGAGAGAGAAAGAGCCACAGAATTGTTCACTGAATGTGTATATTACAAAGAGATTTACACTCTCTTTTATAGAGAGGAAAAGTTACATAGGGTGTCAATTAGCACCGAAAGAAGAAAACAATTGGGGAACATTCATTATGACAATTGGGGAACATTCATTATGACAATTGGGGAACATTCATTATGACAATTGGGGAACATTCATTATGACAATTGGGGAACATTCATTATGACAATTGGGGAACATTCATTATGACAATTGGGGAACATTCATTATGACAATTGGGGAACATTCATTATGACAATTGGGGAACATTCATTATGACAATTGGGGAACATTCATTATGACAATTGGGGAACATTCATTATGACAATTGGGGAACATTCATTATGACAATTGGGGAACATTCATTATGACAATTGGGGAACATTCATTATGACAATTGGGGAACATTCATTATGACAATTGGGGAACATTCATTATGACAATTGGGGAACATTCATTATGACAATTGGGGAACATTCATTATGACAATTGGGGAACATTCATTATGACAATTGGGGAACATTCATTATGACAATTGGGGAACATTCATTATGACAATTGGGGAACATTCATTATGACAATTGGGGAACATTCATTATGACAATTGGGGAACATTCATTATGACAATTGGGGAACATTCATTATGACAATTGGGGAACATTCATTATGACAATTGGGGAACATTCATTATGACAATTGGGGAACATTCATTATGACAATTGGGGAACATTCATTATGACAATTGGGGAACATTCATTATGACAATTGGGGAACATTCATTATGACAATTGGGGAACATTCATTATGACAATTGGGGAACATTCATTATGACAATTGGGGAACATTCATTATGACAATTGGGGAACATTCATTATGACAATTGGGGAACATTCATTATGACAATTGGGGAACATTCATTATGACAATTGGGGAACATTCATTATGACAATTGGGGAACCCCAAGTATGAGCTTTGTCTAAGGCCTGGAGTTCATCAGTCATAGCTTGCTGCCAAAGAGGATTAGTACAAGCCTCACGATAGGAGGTAGTTCATAAGTAGAGAAGGCAGCAGATCCAACAATATAATTACGAAGATGGAGAGGAGGTTGAGTTACCCGGCGTGGTCGACCCGTAGGAGGATCGGTGGGAGGAAGAACCGGTGGAGAAGGAGGTGTGGCAATAAGAGGTAGACCGTCAGAGGGAGCAGGCTGGACGGGATCAGGAGTGAGCAAGGGTGTCTTGATGAATGAGGAACCTGTATCAAAATCAGCAGAGAAAAGATCGATGGAAGGATTAGTAAATAGTACAGGAGTGGAAAGTACGGGTAAGTGAAATGAGGAGAGTGAGGAAAACATTTGGTGTTCCCAGAAAACGACATGGC